ATGCTCTGTCCAGCTCTGCTAAGAGCAGCTAGTTGTTGTTTAGGGCGTTCTAAACACAATAGCCATCAAGGAATTTGAAAAGTGCCCTCTGGTGGACAAAGTGTACAACGTCAATGCTCAAAACATGGCTGAAGGGTGTTTCTCTAGTCGTTTCCTTGCTTATTAAAATGTAATTTAACAGCTGTTATAAAACCAGTTGGCAAATTAGCAAATAGCTAATAATGGCTAATAAGATAAGCTCCAGATACTACAGTAAATGTACTTTTTATACAGACTATAATGTAGCATACAGGGAAAATGTGCTGATGTCAATAAATGGTTACATTATTAAAGTACCTATGCTGTAGATCAGGGGTGTCAAACTGAAATACACAGTGGGCCAAAATTCAAAACTGGAACAAAGTCGCAGGCTAACGTTAATATTTATTGTAATATATTTATTCCTCCAGATATAAGAATGAATCTTTTCTTATGGACTCAAACACGTTTTGCTGAAAAACTGAATATGGAACAAGCAAAACTTAATACTAAACAATATATACATTAGCTGTATAATACCAGTAGGCCAGCTCTAATAGTAATTTGGTATGGCTTCGCGGGCCAAATGTAATTAGTCTGCGGGCCAAGTTTGGCCCGCGGGCCAGAGTTTGACACCTATGCTGTAGATAATATTTTCAGAAGGCTATTATGTCTACGATAAAGTTGTGTGTAGTTGCACAAAAAAACTAAAGAAGCTAAGTGATCTCAGTACTTCTGCATAACATAGTTTTTAATAGTTTTTACATTTGGGAAGATATATCCTTAAAATATAAAATAAAATCATTTGACAATACTTTTTTGCACTACTACCACCTGGACTGGCAGAAGGTTTAGCTTAGCTATTTATTTTGTTAGTTTGACTTAGGCTCACTTTTTCAACCATTAGCAAAAACCTTTAGATGCGTTAGTCATTCCAACTGTTTATCCAAAAACTTTAGATATTGTTTATTTACTTATTTCAGTTATTTACTTATTTCTAGTACCAATAAACTTGTATCAGATGTTATGTATTTTTTTTTCTTGTATTTTATCATTTTAACGATTTATTTATTTTTTTACCTGGATATAATAGTTACAATAATTTATCCATTAGTTATCTAGCCTTTTTGCTACTTAGCTAACCTGTATCCAACTTTGCGTGATGTTGTGTAAATAAATTAAAAATAATTTTTCAACCTAATATTAATTTTACTAATATTACTTTTAGCTACTTAGCTTAGCATTACCAATCATCCTTTATTCAGAGGCATTAATCCCACAAAGTTCTGATGCATTATGTAGCATTTATTATATGTGATTCTACTTATTTATTATTTCTACAATGTGTTTAAACCACAATCTTTTTCACCCACCCTCCCCCCCAATACTTGAGTAACTCTATGGTATAACATGTACTCCCTCCAGTTTTAAGTAATGTATGATCTAAGCCTTGTTTGGAGTCACTGGACCACTTCCACTTCCTTTGATCATCTATCTGTCTCACATAAAATAAAAAAGTAGATACATAAGTCAGTGATTGTCTGTAAGCCAGAGGACTACATAGCCCTTGGGCACAATAAGTGTCCCCTGTTGCACTCAGGTGTAGGATGACTGCAGTTCTCATCAAGGATGAGTGCTACGTGGCGAGGCGGTGGCTGGATGGGAGGGGTGTTGACTAATGCTCGATAAGGCCTTGTTTAACTGCAGCTAGGAGCCTAATTCATCTCAGCCCCTTCATATGTCCCTGAGCTGTCCACGTTAATGCCTGACCTGTCATTACACCGGTCCAATTCGCGCAGTGTTGACAAGAGCTGTCAGCGGATTAGGATGGAGCAAAAACACACATTTCATTATATCTTCAAAGGAGAAAAGAAAAGAGAGACAAAAAACACAGAGATGTTTTACATCACATCTGTGTTAAAAAGAACAGGGGTAAGGTCACTTTCCTATCAACAGAAAGTATAAAGAACATGTAAAGGTCACTGATCTCTCCACATTTAATCCTGTTAGGTCTTGCTTTGTCATCACTGACACCGGCAAATGGCTTACAAATCGTGACATTTACATTTTCTTTTCTTTCTTTCTTTTTTTTTTACATCTCTTACGCAGCAATGTGCATTTAAAAATAGGTTCTTAGCAAACAGACTGCAGCCAGTAACACTAAAGAAAGAAGATTTTTTAGAAGATAGTCAGCAAACACAGCATAGCTGTAACGGCAGCACTAATCCACCTGATTAGTCTAGTTTTGCACCTCACTTATCTCATGGCTTTGGTAACATGTGAGAGGGAAAAGATATTAAAAAACAAACAAAAAAGGTTTCACCTTCACCTTTAAATCAAAATGCAAGCTTGAGGTTTTCATCAAGGTTACTGTGTATCTTTATCACTTTAGCAATTAATTAATTGATTTAAAATAAATAGAAAAAACTGAACTGAAATCTGCATTTAATTATAATTTAGAGATTACGGAGGACGGGTGAATAAAACAATTAATTTCAAGCCCAACTTTTGGATTCCAGGAAAAATAAGATGATTAAATAATTGATTACTAAGTAAATATACATATTAACTGAAAATAACATAAACAGTGTTCCACTGTTAATGAGCTAAAAATTCCAGTTTGTTTCTTTAACAGTTAATTTAGCATTTTTTGTATTACCCATCTATTGCTGACTCTATTCACAGTGATCCCCTGTCTGTGTTTGTGATTCTCAGACATACTTATTACTCTGTCAGCTCTGTCTTTATCTGTTCTCTGTTCGTAATCTAGATTTGTAAGATAGGATCACAGCTGGTATTTAAATTTACAGATACCACCTTTTGCCACCTAACCATTTAACGTGCTTTTTTAATTTATTTTTGGGTGTATGTGAATCTGCTGGACAAGCACCTGACAATTCAAAGACACACCTGTTGGCATGGAGAGCAAATCTGTTTAGATAAAACTGCAATAAAAGCGCAGCTCACTCACTTCTAGATTTTTATTGCACTCTGCCGATAAAAGTGTCCCTTACTCTGGTGTGCGCTGGAATTTTTATTGTCCAATTAAAGGTTTTATGGGATTGAACTAGTCCACTTCTGTGCTGTGCTTTAATCGTCCCAAAGTTCAGCATCACTGATGATAAACCTATCTTCACATCTTAAACTGAAACTGCCCCGAGAAGCATTTCCCACATACAAAACTTCCCCCATCGTTCATCTTTCTCTTTGTTATCATGCATGCACCGTGCATTTAGCAGGAAACCCCCAGCCTCTTCCGCATTCAGTACCACTGTTAAGTGGTAAAAACGCCAGCCTACACTTGTGCATGCATACTTTGATCTCTGATGTCACTCAGCAGTTATTGCACCCTTCCAGCAAACAGCTGATTACCTGTCGTGTATTGACAACACCTGCCACCCCTCCACATTCACCTCTACCCTTTCCACATCTCTTCATCAAACTGTCATTTACTCTGCCGATCCTCTGTAATGGCTCTCATCTTTCCTCCTCCGCACACTAACTCTTGATTTTTTCTTTCTTCTGCAAATTTGAGGTGATCTGTAACGTCCATCTATGTTGTTAAAAGACAGTAAAAAAGATAAATGTTAACATTTTTCTCTGGAGCGTGCTATCATTAAAAAAAACTGCTTCATTGATTCAGTAGAAAGAGCAACTTGTACCGAAAGAAATATGTCCTTTGAAATCTGGGCCACCATCAGATCAACGACACCACCAGCATCCACAATAACCCACCCTCTCTCTGTGTGATCAGGGGCTGATAGTGACGAAGGCTCTCAGGGGACCAGCATGGACACTTAGCCAGGCGGTGTGTCAGCTCAATAAACAGCAATTTATTGGCAGGGGACTGAATACGCTGCCATCCTTGCAAGCTATCAGCAGAGCATCTTATTGGTGCTGAGAGATATTAATGAAGAGAGAAAAGGTGAGGAAATAGGTTAGAAGAGCTCAGCTCTCCTCAGCTCTCCTCTTTCACTACAGCCTGGACTAAAAGAGACTTTATTTGCACTAATAAGGAGGGAGTGTGTTGAATTTGTTGTGTTATTGTTACATCACGTGCCAGGCAGTCCTATTTCAATATTTAGTGCAACAAGGAAGAGACACAAGAGACACAAACACATATTTTCAGTATGTGAGTCCCCCTTGGGATATATCACCTTTATTTCAAATGTGGCCTCAGCCTGAACACACACACACACACACACACACACACACACACACACACACACACACACACATATATATATATATATATATATATATATATATATATATATATATATATATATATATATATATATATATAAAATTTAAAATCCTCCCACTGAACCAGTTATTGATGTTTATTTCTTTGCTGATTGAAGGCAAAACAGATTCCAAAGGAACAATTTTTCCCCCCTTCTTCTTCTTTTGATTTAACATCTGCCTAATCAGGCGTCTGCCACATCAAACTGCTCTGACAAGCTACATTAAAACCGCAGCTACTGAAGATAAAAGCCATATCTGGTTCAAGTTTCCATGACAGAGCAATCCAATATAATCCGGAGGGGAGCACTGATAGTACAGGCCCGTACAGAGGGGCTCGATTTTTAATTCCCGCACATGACCTGTTATGAATACACCACTGTCGTATTTAAATGTCTTTTATGAAGCTGAATATTTCATAAAATACATGTTTGCGTTTTTAAAATGCGAATTCGTGGGGGAAATGTGTCCGTGAACCAACATTATCAACGAAGGATAAATGGGGTATTCACATTTACGTAAAGAAAGAGAAAGCGTGTTTTTAAACTTATATTCCGGAAGTTTGAAGTCACCACAAACAGAAAGACTTCTTGAGTCTTTTAAGGTCAGTATCCGTTTGCCCATTTTGCTGTTTGAGGACTGCTGGAACGAAACTCGTGATTTTTATGAAAGATTTCATAAGTCCTTCAATAAAAAAAAAAAAAAAAAAAAGGAAAACAAAATAAACACGCCTTTACCTGTACCATTCCAGTCCCTTCTCGTAGAAGCGATCGAAGAAGTGCGGCTCAGCGCCCACGGCTCGCACGTCTGGATGGATGCGCAAAAACTCCAGGAGAGCCCGAGTGCCACCTTTCTTCACCCCGATGATGATGGCCTGAGGGAATTTTTTGTTGCCAAAATTATTGGCTATAGAAATATTGTTGGACGGGGGATCACTGTTCGTCAAGTCCGACAGCTGTTCGCGGACAAGCGAGACCGGAGACGCATTATACGCGCCGAGCTGCTCCGTTTCTTGTCCATCTTTAAAGATAATTTTGGTTTGGAGATTACTTCGCTGGTCATACACGGGTCTGGGCAGGGATTCGCAGTAACCGTTGAGGCAGTAAAAGAGGTAAATGAAGAGAATAATCATGGTAAAGAAGACAGGCAGCTTGGAGTGCACCTTCAGGTGTCCAAAGTTGAACGCAGCTCTCCATTTACTACATCCCATGGGTCGCAATCCTGAGCACGCGGACACGACGCAGGAAACATGCCATATCAGGGGGGTTGGATACTAAAGTCAAAGTGACAGCAGCTTAAAAAGCGCCTGTTTTGTGCCACATGTCCAAGTGGCGCAAAACCTGTCCACCGCGCATCCAAAAGCTCCACATGTTCCTTATTATCCCTCTCGCCCCCCGTGACTGTCCCTGAATCCTGCCGTCATCAAAACAAAACAAACAAACAAAACAAAGTTTCTTTAACAACTGGAGCAAAAATCCACAAAATAAAAACGCAGATTCAGCAGGTTGAATCTGCCGCACAGCTCTCCGTGTCTTCTGTGCGCCCCTGCGGCTCCCTGGCAGCGGCTGTGTAGGAAACCCTCAGCGATCCTTTCCGTGTGACTGCCAAATCCACGCCCTGTTTATCAAGCGTACGCCCCCTTCCAATCCTCAGCTCGTGCCACGCTGAAAATACAGCGAAAAATAATTACGCGGGCACGGCGCGTCCCCTCTTCTCTCCGAAGTGACAGAGAGGAGAAAACGCTCATATCGCGTTATTTTGAAAGCAATTTTAGAGAAATATGGTAGTTAGTTTAATTGTATTTAATGCACCGGGAGAGGAGAAAACGTCTGGGAAATGATGAAGAGGGGATATTAGTTTTTTGAAAGCAATTTCCCTTCATTTCCCCTTTAAGTCACCACATCCACTGCTGAACTCTCCGCATACAGGAAAACCACGCACTGAGCTCCAGGTAACCGGTCGCTTTGAGCAGCTCTGTATGGCCAACTAGCGGCCACCTGCTGCCTGCTATAGTTGGGCTGCCGGACCACACACACCAGTCGTGCCAGCCATGACACACACACACACACATTTAACCTTGTCACCCCTGGCTAACTGTAACAAACAGGTGTCATCAATTTCTCTGTTTCTTTTCTCCTTGTGAGTGGGTGTGTGTGTGTATATGTGAGACCATACCGGTAAACATGAGATAATTGAGACCACCACCAGTCTGTCCCTTTATTTACTTTCTCCTACAGACAAATGCTAGAAAAAACAAACAAACTTGGAAATATAAAAAAGTCACGTATAGCAGCTCTTCTTTTTATTTCTTTTTGTTGTTGTACATGTTGGTGCAGGTTTAGGATTAGGCATTCATCTCCCCGAGACGTCTACTCATTTGTTCTTGAATCTTGCCAAGAAAGCCCCAGGATGCAGATGATATTTTCAGGAGTGACACAGACAGATAAAAAGTCCACATCGCTTCTTCCCTTCCTCCCAGTGATATTCATGAGGTGTACCGCTACACTGAAAAAACACCCAAGAGTCCCGGCTTGACCTCTGTAACCTGAGGATGCTGGCTGACACTCATCACGGCTACAGCTGAAGTGGCTTCAAAACCTGCTAAACACACTAAAGGATATACTATGGTTACTATGTTTGTGTGTGTGTGTTTGTTTGTATGATCCCAAAGGTATTCCAGCATTAAGCAGTTAGAACGCTGATAACTTTATTGGCACACTTATGATGTCTGTGCCTTTTAAAGCAATGCATTGTACTGCTGGATATAACTAACAAGTTCTCATATGTTATTACAGCTGTTTCAAACAAATCATTCTCTGGGTTTGAACACTGAGCGCCGACGGATTGTCATTTATGCCAACTAATATAAACTGAAAAAAGGAGCAGGTTCGGAGAGGAATAATCCACATCTGCAGTTCTCTTATCGGCCTCTGTGGACCTTTGCTGACTCTGGGTCTGAGTCTGGCTGCCTCGAAGTCATCCTTATATGGACCAGATGTCAGGTATGTTGTGACGTTTGGGGCACATCTGGCCCCTAAAACATATGTCAGTGATCTAACGGAGCTCTAAGTGCCAAAAGTAGCTCAGATTAGGCTGAAAAGTGTCCACTATCTGGGGTAGATGTTACAATCTGCCTGCTTCAGAGCACGTAAGGGCAATTCCAAGCACTTCTATGGCCTTTTTTCTACAAGTCAGTATGAAATCTATGAATAACTGCCCAACATGACATTACGTTAAATTAAAGGCTTGTAATCTGGAGAGTAATGAGAAACACGAGCGACACACCAGTGTTAAAATGAGATTTTTTAGTGTCCGGTGTACTCCAAAATCAAGGAATCGAGGATTGAAAGTGTTTATTTATGCACCGCAAACTGATGAGTATGCAGGAAGGATTTCACAGGGAAAGATTCATCACATAAGACTCAAACAGAGAGACTAAAACAACAACAAAAAAACAAGACACTCAACAGCAACACAGCTCCAGTTTTAAAAGTTTCATCTGCTGATTTGGCCTGAATTCTCTAAATCTCCAAATGCCAACCATCCAGTGTCAGAGAGAGTGCTCTGACACGGGATACTAAATCCCTTTACCTAAAATGGTGCAATCTAAATGGAAGAATATCGGCACCTTCGCCTTATATGTCGAAATATAAGTGAGGGTACATGGCAGCACGCTCTTGTGGATGATAAATCTGAAGGGGATGACAATATCTATCGACACAGGCATCCTCCAGTCCAGCAGTATGTCAATTTCTCAGTCTCTAAACAGAGAAGACATCATTTACTCTTCTCCGCTGCTGGAGCACTCCTCCGTATTGATCTGCCGTGATGTTGAAAAACAATCGGAGATGTGCCTTTCTCTCTCGTCAAAGTGATCGATACCGCTGGTTAGCCTTGTGTTGTTTAATGTTTAAGACCGAGTTTAGCTCTTTTCTCTTTTCTTAAACTGGTTGGCGACAGCTTGGCAAAGTGCGCGCACATTCAAAGGAAGTTAAAGTGAAAATCTTGAAATTACTAATGCTCTTTCAGCTTTCTTGTCCATTACGACAAGTTTGTTACTATATGTGAGTGTGCGTTTTATCTCTGTGTGTGTCCGTTTATCACATTAGGAGAGTGGAGAGGATGACACATAGCTAAATGTCCATCTTGGAATTAAATCAGTCTACTGTAAGGACTCCCGTCTGAAAATCAATATGTTGGCATATTCATATTAAAGTATTTAGTGCACTTAAATTCACTCACCGGCCGTTTTATTAGGCGGTGGGTTGGACCCGTCCCACCTTTTGTCTTCAGAACTGCACTAATTCTTCATGGCACAGATTCAACAATGTGCTGGGAACAGAGATTTCTGAGAGATCGTGGCCTGCTGTAGCCGTTCTGCTTTAAGGGCTGACATGCTGTGCGTTCAGAGATGCTCTTCTGCAGGTGTTATTTCAGTTATTGTTGCCTTCCTATCAGATTTTAAGGAGTCTTTTCATTTCCCTCTCCTCTCCAGCATAAACAAGGCTTTTTCACCCAGAGAACTTCCACTCACTGGATACTCAGATATTTCAGAGATTGATTGCAAACCATCTACAATATTTGGGCTCCAGTTCTCAATTTTGTTAAACACGAAACTTTCTTTCTTTCGCTCTATAATCTGCAAATACAAATGGGAACACGGTATATAAGAGACTATACGATTCTAATGAGCTTCGGAGTCAATATTTACCTTTATTCTTCAACACAGTCTGAACTCTGAGGCAGCTTGTTGTAGCTTATTTCTGTAGTTTTTAGGAATAGTTCTTCAGTCTTCCTGAAGGACATTCAAAGCTCTTCTTTGGACGTTGGCTGTCAACAGGATCCCACACTGCTTCACTAATGTTGTGGTCTGGCTAATAGCTGCTAATTTTGGCTAATAGCTCTTTGTGAATCACATTTTTGTGCACAAACACTATTTCATGCCTGTCAAACTGTGTGAGCTTTGGCATTTTTCATAGATTCAATTAAAGGAATGGGAACAACCTAGGTGCGGGTGTAACAGGCTGCTGGCAACAAAGTTCCTAAAGACACCATTTAAAACTGGTTCTTTGCCATTTTTCTGTTATGTGTAAACGCGAGACTGGGTCCTCCTTTGAGTTATGAGCCTTTTTTTATTCTCCGGTGATTCATAGGTCAGAGCTATGTCGCCAAACAAGCAAGCAAACTAACAAACATTCCTCTGAAAACAGTCAGGTACAACTAGTAGACTAAAGATGAGAGAAAGAATTTCATTTAAACAAAGTCTCCTCGGAAGCCAAATATAAAGAAATGAGGGGAGGCTTTAGACTATTGCTTCTTGAGAAAAACATGTAATTACTGCACAGATAAAATGTGGAAATAAAAATGTCATGTTGTTATTGTATTGCATTGTATTTGAAGGCCATCAGCACAATTACAGTACATGATATGCAGTATAAATAGGCCACTACGGGGCCTGTGTACTATAGCTGTGTAATCATGAATGACAGTGTACTGTATGGGAACTTTGCTCAGTTTACAGGGACACACCTGAACTAAGGTATTAACACTCTTTCACATAGGCCCTTGTCTGAGTGGCATCCTGTGGGTTGAATTCCTACACACCTCTGTACAGTCTGAGGCAGTGGGAACACAGACAGCTGTACAAAGTCCCTCAAATGACCTGTGGCGGCTGCTTCAAAGACAGGATCTGTTTCACATCCCCCTGCTCCTGAGACTTAGGCGATCTTTCTTTATTATCAAATGAAACCAAATGACGTCTTGCCAAATATAAAACATCGTTTTTAGACAAACAATATGACCTGAAATGCATCTTAGATCTGAAATCACTGACGTCATATCAGCGATTTCACTGAGACATACACCAGACTTACCCCGATGTCGTGCTTTGTGATTCTTTTTAATGCTTCCAGTTTTGTGTTTCTCACAATAGAAAATCTGTTACTGTTTCCTCTCAGAGTAAATACACCATCATGACTTCTCAAGCTGTCCAGAAGGGCGTTGTAGTCATTGTCCCCCGGGAGAATACCGAGCATTGTACCTGTATTGTGCTGCCTCTCTGAAGAGACAATGGATGCGACCGGCAACTGAAGAGCTGTTAAGTCACCTGGATGGAATGTGTCTCGCTCTGAGCCTGGGACAAACACACACACAAAGAAATGTATCACCAAACCACACCAGACACCATCATTAAAGAGGACTGTGGATTAAAGGATGAGTTTCATGCAGAGCTTCTTGGGGTTTTCTTTTTTAAGCTAGTCTGACTGATTCAACCCAGAGTTCAGGGAACACTTTTGGAGTTTTTGTTTGACCTTAAAGGAATACTTCAGGAGTTTAGGGACCTTTAACACACACCTTCCTGATATTCCTCTGATTTTATATTTGGTTTGGCAGAATGTCAAAAAAAGCCTCATACATAGCATCTAAGAATATTTTTATTTTTTATAATATGCTGCACACTGTTGTCCATTTGACCTCAAGATGGCACTGGTGTGTCACTGTTACTTTTAATAAATGTAGACCAAATGATACAAATTCTCATTTTTAAACTTTTT